AAATATTTATTAAAATAACATAATTTTAAAGTATTTTTTAAAAAAATTTTAACTACAAAATACTAATTTTTAGCAAAAAGATATACTTATATTGTCACATTATATTATAAATTTATGATTAAAATATAATATTAAAAAATTAATTTCTTTCACTAAATAATTTATTTATAATATAATATATATTTATTCATTCACAAATCATACTATTATAAATTTAAAATCCTCCTGGTATCGTAACTGTATTATTACCAAAACTATAAGTCGGACTTTTTTTTTAAGACTAATTTATGGTGGCTATAATGATGTGGCCCCCATATACACAAAATGTTATTTTCAGTGGAAAAAATTACTTCTTATGCTTATAGTTTGATTAATTTAATTAAATCTTATATGGCATGATTAAGAAACAAAACAAGTTTAATCTCATATTTAGTAATTTAATGGACCTTAATGTACAGATTAAAAGTATATTAAATATATTTTTTATCATAAATTTATATTAAAAAATAAAAATTTATTTATTGCTTTTTACATGAGGGTTTATTTAATATGTGTTTTAAATGTACAGATTAAAAGTATATTAAATATATTTTTTATCATAAATTTATATTAAAAAATAAAAATTTATTTTTAATATATCAATTGTCTAATTAAATTCATTTAATATTAACATTAATATTAATTTTTACATTAATTTATATACATTTAATGCAAAAAAATTAGTTTTAACGTCCCAAGGAGATAGGCTAAAAAAATCCTTTAATGAGATCATATTAGTCTTAATTACCGTCTTGGAAAATCTTGACTTGAGCCAAAGCAGCAATCTGTTGCTTCATAGCGCTATTTTCAACGGTAAGAATCACTCTTTGATGATCCAAGAACGCAACCCTTGGTGATAATACCGATGCCTCAGTCTTCATTTTCCACCGAAACAAACAGAAAAAGGGAGGAAAAAAAATCACTTCAACAATCCGAATAATCCGAATAACAGCGCGAGATGAAAATTATAAATTAAATTAATATGAGATTTTTTCACTTAATACTTGTAATGTTGTCACACTATGTTCAAGTTCTGATATGTATTGCATCTTCCTTACTCTTGATCTCTGTGCTGATTGCCAATTTGCTAAAATTCTGATGAAAACCCAGAAAAAGTATCATCAATATAATTTTCCTGATAATTAAACATCTTAAAGAATGAAGAGGATTCAAATACCGAGACATGTGGAATATATAATATCAGGTTTTATTTGG